GCTTAAAAAAACATAATTACGTTAAATTGTGTGTCAATCGACCGTATTATTGGGGTTTTCTGCACTATTTACTTAAAATCTAAAACGATTTCAACAAAAGTAGAGAGTACGTTGTGCAAAATGTTGTGTCAATCGGCCATATTTTGTGGCTTTGATGCACCATTTACATTAAATCGGACGAAAATATATATGAGAGCAATATCTAAATCTGATTATAATGTCTTTGTGCATATATTTGTAACAGACAAAAGGAAACGTGATAGACACATGATTCCTTTTGAGAATATGCATAGAATCACTTTCTAAGTCGATTTATGCATGTTCGTCCGTCCGTCTGTCTGTCCATGTCAAATTGTAAACAGAGTACAGGTCGCATTTATGATTCGAATTGGATGAAATTTTACACAGCTCATTTATTTGGCCCAGATTTAGATATAGCTCCCATATATTTTCGTCCGATTAGGGACCAAAGTCCCTAAGTATCATTCGATTTGCACCAAAATTGGCACAGCGTACTGAAATAAGCCTAGATTGATGTGTGCTAAGTTTCGTAAAAATCGGTTCAGATTTAGATATAGTTTCGTGAAAATCGGTTCAGATTTAGATATAGCTCCCATATATATTTTCGTCCGATTTAAGGTAAATGGTGCACCAAAGTCCCTAAACATCTTTCGATTTGCACGAAATTTCGCACAGCGTACTGAATTAAGCCTGGAATGATGTGTGCTAAGTTTCGTAAAAATCGGTTCAAATTTAGATATAGCTCCCATATATATTTTCGTCCGATTTAATGTAAATGATGCATCGTAGACCCTTTATATTCTTCGATTTGCACGAAATTTAGCATAGCGTGCTGAATGGAGCCTAGAATGATGTGTGCTAAGTTTTGTGAAGATCCGTTTAGATTTAGTTATAGCTCCCATTTACATTTTCGTCCGATTTTACATAAATGGTGCACCAAACTGCTAATGTTTGTCCGATTAAAACGAAATTTTGCACACATTTAGACTTGAATGACGTTATTGGCTTTTGTTAAAATTGGTGCAGATGCAGCCATAGCGTGTTTCAATTTTGCTATAAATCGTTTTGCATAAATTTGTCCCATGGTACGCAGACGACACTAAATCTGTCCCATAATACAATCGCATCAAGTGAATAAGATGGTCAAGGATCTTCCGCTTCCCACATAGTGATCCACTTTCAGATATTTTCCATAAAATTGTATGATTTCTTCTAAATAATATAGTTCTATAAAAAATACTCGGAGTTTAAATTTATTTTAAAACGTGAAAAACTTATTGTAGAAAATATACTTAGAATTTCTTGAATCTTCGATGCTGCATTTAAATTTATTTTAAAACGTGAAAAGACCAATGAATGTATACCGCACATTTTCTAAGTTTACGTCTAACGACAGTATTCAGGAGGCTTTACTTCCCCTCAAGGCGATATATTCCCTTTCACACAATAAAATAGTCTCAATGGCCACTTTAACTATATACGTTTTTTGTTTCAATACATCTGAAGCTTGTTTGTCCGTAACATATTCTATATATTTTGAAACATCAATATATAACAAATATCATAATTCAATTCAGAAGTGATATCCAATTATTTATTAATTTCGTCGCTAAATGTAACTTTTGTTCTCGTTATATTATTAAATATAACTATGTTTCCCATTATCCCCCTTAACATAGATGTTTTCAATTTTAAATAAAAATACCATGTTTATATTTAATTTTTTTTTTCGAATAGTTTTATTTTTGTATAAGAAATGCTATAAACTATGAAATAAAAAGTCAGTTATAAATAAAAAAAAATTCCCCGTTAAAATATTGGAAGATTTTTTTCATTATTTAAATGAATGTTGATACAATTTTGCAAAACAAAACAATTTTCATATATAAATTATTATTGATCACAATACACATTCTAATTTTATGATGATGATGATTTAAAACCAGTTATCTCTTATTTTGTTTTTGTATTTTTTATCCTTTGTCAACATTTTGTTATAACTTTGAGCTACTGTATGTACGGCTTAATATGCTGCTACAGCTGATTTCTTTTTTTTTTCTTCTTTTTTGGATTGTATTTACATCAGCCACCTGCATTGCCGTAAATATCTGTCGGTCTATATTTTAATTGTTATGTATTTTAGGTATAAATATTAAATTTAATCTAAAGTTAAATATATTTTATACATTATATGACATCATATTTGTTTCCGTTTTGTTTCATTTCGATACTATTTTTCCATATTATTTTTTATTACGGGGATGCTTTTGCTCTGCTTTGTTTACATTACTTGGTACATCATTTTTATCTGTTCCTTTTGTTTGAACATTCGTTAGAAAATTAAAATATGAAATTAATGAATAAAAGCTTATTTGCTAGTAAAATAAAATTGAAAATAAAAATAAAACGTTTCTTATATTCTGGCTAAATAAGGTGTGGTTCTTAAAAATGTGGGGTTTCCGTTTTCTTTTTTGTTTTGTTTTGTTTTGCCCTTAACTAACTATATTTATAATATTTAGTTTAGTTTATTTTATTTAATATTAATAAAGTTTAAATTCTATAATACAATTGATGTCATAATCATCACACGCCAATGCCAAGCATCCAACTTGGCATTCCTTCTAATGTCTAGGTTCCTTGTCGTTTTGTTGCGTCGTCACATTATTTGTACATATTCCTAGCTAGATTAAAAATAGATTATCTTAAAATCTAATTATAACTCTATTAAATCTAGAGAAAAAAAAAATGAAACGAATAATTATTTTCGAACATAAGATTATGCATGTATGTATGTAGTTTGTATTGTATATTATTTGCAAGGTAATGTATTACAATATACATGTATGTATATTGTATGCATGTATGTGTTATGTTGGTAAATTTTAAAATATTTTTCTTTTTCGTTTTTTGTTTCGGTTTAATTACAAAAGTTGTTCCGTCCCTTAATATCTACTGGAGAGTTAATAAAGTTTACATTGTTTGTTCCAGAAACAAACTCAATTCGATTCATTAAAAAAACAAAATATGGGAGAAAAAACTACATCAGTCATTTTGGCACACACCAGACAACCACCGCTCCTATCGACGTTATAATGTGTTTTCGAGTTTGTTTGTGTTTTTTTGGTCATAACAAAATACGAGAGATCATAAATCTGAGAATTTTTTGTTTTATTATTTTGTGTTTTTTTTTTTTTTGGTTACTGATTAGCCAAAATTTATAATCGCAAAAATAAAAGATTTTTTTGTTATAAATTTGTAATCAGGACGTTGTGTGTGTATATATTTATAATTTGTATAAACTTTTCCACAGATTTGTTTTGGGAAATCGTGTACGACTCGAATGGGAAAATTATTCACATCAGAAAAGTGCCTTTCCAACAAGGATATGCTAATAGGTAAGTCAAATTTATATACTTTGGGATAAACTTAAATGTCCACAATTTTTGTGCTGCAAAATAAAAAAGTTTACCATCATTTGAAATTTAGATTTTATAAAAAGTAATTGACTAATCATATTAAGACGGTAAGACGCTAGCTACAGTGTCCGCTAAAAATAAATGCATTATCATTGTGTATTCAAAATTAAAAATACGGGGCCGATAAAAATTACGTTATGTACTGGTGAAACGTGAAAATCAACATCCTTTCTTTTTGGATGCTTCATACAAATGTACAAAGACCACAGAGAGATGTAGAGCATGAAAATGATGCGAGGAAAATCTGACATTTACTACGTTCATATGCCACACACTTAAAACATTGTTTAGTAAATTTTATTACTTTGTTTGTATTACCGTACTACTTTGTGCTAAAATCAAAGCATATTTTTGGGCTGAATTTAAAATTGGCTGATGTCAATTAATTGTAAGGAAAAAATAGAAGTATAAACATATATAGAAATATTCGATTCTTAAATGCTGCGTTTAAAAAATCTTTGACTTAAATTGGGTCCATTTGAAAATAACTAAAATATATTATGTAAAAAAAATTTACTTAAAAAGAAAAACAACAAAATGCTTCAATAATAAATTATTTAAAATGCAGGTTAGAAATATATTTTCCAGAATCCAAAATATTGAAAACAGGGTTTTTTTAATTGTATGGGATGAACGAAATGCTTTAGAAAATTTTGAAAGAAATCTTCGAGTTTCATACATAATAGAAATCAGTGGATTGTGGAATCAAAATGATTTTGAATACATAAGGCTAGACGAACACAATCAATACTGTCATTAGCAAATTGGTTGTATATATTGGGGCGGTTTCAAAACATAATTTTTATTACTATTGCATTTGAAAAAATGTTTTATGTATGTCTATGCGGTCAACTGTATTTAAAAGATAAATTAAATCAAAAAATAAAATAATCATAACATATTTTAAAATTCATGCAAATGTCATAGATCTGTACCTAAATATTTATAAAAAAATAAAACTTTGGATTTCGAGTTGAAAGAAACAATTAAAAATTCTTTAAATTATAAATTTTATAATTTAAGAAGTTTTCAATTTGCATTTTAAAAGAATAAGTATTGAACCAATGCCAATACATTCAACGCAACGTTCATGCTCTGCTAACGAGCAGAACAGAAATCACAAATACGAATAGCAACGAAAATGTAATGCGAAAACACCACAAGAACAAAATCTTTTGTTTGTTGAAATTGATTTCTTTGGTTCAGAGTTCCGCGTGTAATGCGTGAAAACCGCTAATATTCCTATCCTGGCAGCTAATAATATGCATGAAACCAAAATCGAAAGCAAACAAAAAATATCAAAAAACCTACGAATGTTCAAATGATGGCAGCCATAAGCATTGAGGCTAAGAAGACTGTGTGGAATCCGAAAGAGTGTTCTTTGTATGCTTTTAATGTCACTATTGTTGTTTGTTGTTATGGTTTTATTTCTTTACATTTGTGTGTTTGTAGGCATAAATGATGTTGTTGTTGCTGTTATTGTTTCTATATATAAGTATTCACGAGGATATGGAGGAAGGCATTACGTTTTAAAAGCTAAAAGAACAAAATTGAAACGAGGACAGGAGGAACTGGTAGGGTCTTCGTGTCAATGTCACCATCGACACAGGGTGGGCGGAGGATTTGGCCAGATTCCACTAAACCTCGGTGCCATCCTCTCCCTCATCGTCGAATAGCTGACTTGTGCTGCCATGACCATTGCGTGATGCTGTCACGGACATTTTCTTCTTCGGTTTTGGTGGCGGTCTGGGTGGTATTTTGGTTAATTTCGGTTCTGAACTGTTGCCGCTGTTTGAGATCGTGTTGGTGGTCGTTGTTGTGTTGCCGCTGTTACTGTTGTTGTTGCTATTGGGCACTATGGCGGAATGGTGTCTTGCTGTGCCATATAATGGTTCCGTGTCCGAGGTCGTTGTTGGCTGATGTAGTTGATTAACTAATTCGTGTAGGGGTTCGTAGATTTTACTTGTATTATTGCTGGACATGTTGTTTTGTGGTGTTTGTTGCTGTTGTTGTTGTTGTTGTTGCTGCTGCTGCTGTTGGTATATCGCCTGCTGTTGCTGTGCCTGATTTGAGTTCACTGATGTGAGACTGGGTGTTGCCGGTAGTGGACGATCCCGCATTGTGTAGCGCACTGGCTGTTCCTGTTGCTGCATTAGACTCTTGTTCAAATTAAGAGTTGAGCTACCGCCAGCGGTTGTTCGCAGACCCAAATTGTCATAGACAGGTTCAACTATCATTTCGGCTGTTGTCGCTGTTCCCGTTTCGCTGGGATTCGGCGAGGTGGGCGATTGAAATTCACTCAATTGTGTCGAATTGGTAGCCGATGACGATGGCGCCCAGCTTGGAACTCGCGGTTTGCGTGGTATTGTCATATAGCCCTGTTTCATAACAACCGCTGAAGTGGTTGCCGGCGAGTAGACGACGGGTGCGGGGACAAACGGCGATTGTTGTTGTCTGCTATTAGCAGCAGCGATAAGTGCTAAATTGCGCGATTTGGGATGTTGCAGAGTCATGAAACCGTTCGGTGTGGCGGCCGCTATGGTCGTAGTACCATAAATGCCATGGGGTGTCATGTGAGCGTACACGGGACTGGTCATTGGTGGCGAACGTATGCCGTAGATAACCTGTTCGGGTATATTCGATTGGGACGATTGCATGGATGGTGATGTGGGTGGGACACGTGCTGGGAAAGCCAACAAGTCTGGTGGTAGCGTAGTAACATATGTGTCGTCCATGTAGGTGTGACGTGTACGAGGCACTGTATTGTCCGATGTGGTCACTGAATGAGTTTCATCATCGCGATGATGAAGATTTCCTGTAATGAGCAATGAGAGAGAATATTAAGAAATTAAATGAATAAAACTAAAAACAGTCGTCCGGCCTAATAGTAACTTGCCGATAAAATTCCCTTTTTATTGTAAAACAAATAAAAATTATCTGAGTCTCATATCTAAATTATCTTTTTTTAAGACTGGATGGATGTGCTGTATACTTTTAAGTAGGTACCCAATTAAAAAATATGATATCTTTCTTTCTGTGTGGATGTGTGTGTGTTTTTTAAGCAATGTTCTTGTGTAAACATCATCGTGTTGTATGCTCTCCTATTCACATTTCGACCTATTGTCATAAAACATTTTTTTTCCAAATTCTCTATTCCCTGACTCCTTGTACGAATTTTCATACGTGTGCAAGTAACATGCTTGCTGTTCGTTGTCATTGCCTTTTCTAATAAAAATACAAGCATTTCTGTCTGTCCTTAAAACATTTTAACCTTTTGGCATCAACGAACGTCATTGTGTTGGTGTTTACTTTGTAGATGTTTTTCTTTTCCTTTCGGTTTTGTTTTTGTTTTTGCTGCGCTAAAAACACTCTACATCTTGAATCTTGGGTCTTGTAACCTCGGGGGCATTCTGGTACTGTTGCTCGTTTCGTTGCCGTAGATGTGAAACGTCGCAGTATGAAGCTGCTCACTTTAAATGTTTAAATTAAAACCTTAACAAAGAACAAAGAGTTGTGTTTTTTGTGTAGCACGTTTTTTCTAATCTTGTGAATCAGAAGTAAAGTAAAAAAAGATTGAAAAGAGAGAATATTAAAGCGTGAAATTGAACTTCATTTAAAATGGGTTAACTTTGTTGCTTGAAGCGCAATTTTAACACACAACATTCAAAAAACTTCAAACTATGGACAACAAATTTGTTTTTTTAAAACATGGAGCCTAAAGCAGCATAATATGGAAATTTGATATTCCACAGGTTGGGAATCTGTATATGAAGAACTTGGTAAGTTCAAATCAAAGCAATTGATTATATGGCTATTACCCAAACAGGACATATCAATTAACTGGAATACGACCAATTGTTGAATTCCACCAATAAGGATTCCAAACAAGAATAAAATTATTGGGAACATGGACATCTCCTTTCGACGACATCATTTTCAACAATGTCTCTATCACAACTAACCCAAAAAGTACGACTAAGAAAATTATCCTTTTATGTTGGCCTTTCATTCACTAAAAGCCACAGATATAGTACATGTGTGTGTGTGTAACTCAGAGTGTGTTCGTGTTTGACATTATTTTATAAACAGACATTCTCAAGTTTGACCTAATATTGACATATTTTGACATGGAATTTGTGCAAATTTCCCTTTGCTTTCCAAGTGGGCCATCTCTTTCAACTCTATCTTAATTACAAAACATGTTGTGTTTAATTTTGTACATGTCCACAAACATGAATACCAGGATATTACAATGTTTGTGTGTGCAGGAGTGCATGTAAATGTTGGATGTAGGATTTGAATGCATAATCATTCATTTGAAATGTTTTCGGTAATCAAAAGTGGAAGTTTTACACCATTTCATTTAGAGTTTATTATAAGGTATATATAATTTTTTTGAAGAGTAGAGATTTCTAATTCACGCTGCGTAGGGAAATTCCATCATTAACTATCTGGTATGCTATTGCCCATGACCGAGGTGCATTTTTCGGTTACCAAACATATTTCATTAATTAGTTTTATTTATAGTATAATATTTTTTTCCAATTTAGAAATAGTGTAATCATAGCTAAATCATTGTATTTCTACTTCAAAGTCATAGATTTTATAGTTGTTTGATTATTAGAGTATTGTTTGTCAAACGTACAAACACACGCACAACACACACTACAATACGTTGACAACTTGTCAATATTCGAAATAACTTTAGTTTTCAAATACAGAATATAGAGAATGGAGAATATTGACACATTGACATTTGTTCTGGCATCATGTTCTATGTGAATTCATTGATAAAAAAAACTTTTTTTTTGTATTTCTATTAGCAGATGTACATACAGGCAAAAGTTTTAATGCACATTTGGAACATGAATATACAGTGAAAGTGATTCAAACAGATATAAACTTTGTTTTCGTGTCACTCTTTTCACAGAAACTTTGAGTTTCTTTTTTTTGTATGTATTTTTTCTTCTTCTAAAAATTTCAAGTATGACTATTGTTACGTGGAACTATTTTTCTATTGTCTTAAATGTAGGAGTAGCAGTAAAATATTTTTTGATCATATTTTGCTTTAGGGGACTTCATATAGGATTTTTCTAACAAAAATTAGAAGAAAATTTCAATTTTGAAATATTTTTGTACATTAAAAAAGGGGGAAGGACAAAAGATTTTGTACCTTTAAGCTGTAGTTCTCTTATACGTGCAAAATCGTTCGGAGACTATGTAAATATATTAAAATTCATCTCAACAAAAAAGAGAACCATTCTATAATTCGATTGATATTTAAACATCAGTACGCTATAAATGATCTCCTTTGGAAAAATCAGAATTTTTTATCAAATGCTTTATAGTCTCCAACAAATACTTCCTGACATTTGAAATTTGTAAGTAAAGGTTGTAAAAAACTGAATGATGATTTTTGAACCAAATTTACAAAACTTTAAAAATTACTTCAAACGATTCGAAAATTGAAATTGAATACATAAAATCGCTAGCAGTAAGTGACTTTTATGGTGTACTGTAAAGATGTAGACAAATTGTCAATAAGCTTTTTATAAAATTTCGTTTTGTTATTGTTAAACTATTTTACTATTCATAACTATTCATTTAACTATTTTATCGATTAAGCATTTAATGTACGTTTAATGTGTATATGGAACTATTGACGGCCGAAATGAAACAATACTATTCTTCTGTATGTATATACATTTTACCCAGTTAAAATACAATAATTAACAAACCTTCTTCTTCATTAAACTCTTTTGTAAATTGTGGTTATTGCTTTTTCCCTTGAATTATCCACTTAACTTCCATTTTGTTCTCAACCATTCCTTATGCAGATTTTGCAGAGCCTTTACGACTACCAAAAAAAGAAAAATGAAAAGGAAATAAAAAAAACTTACCAAATTGCGTTTCATCCAACAGAGTCTTCTTAATCTCGTGACCATCATCACCGCCATTGCCATTGCCAACACCATCAATATTCTCCAGCTCCGTTCGCCGTGGCGGTTTTTCGACGGGATTAACTTCTGTCAGTAGGCTTTTTTGCATTTCCATGATGACCGAGCCTTCCAGCATAGAATTGTGTGTTTTATCCATTTTCGAGGAGATTAAACCATTTTCACTCATCATTGTTGTATCCTTCTGATAGGTTTTGGAACGACGACAATACCAGCAGATGACAAGAATTATGACGACCAGAAGCAGCAAAAGTGTTGTGGCAATCAAACCAATAATGAGTAAAATATTGGGCTCTGTTTCCGAGGTAGACGTGCTAAGGCCATGTACACGATTCTTACCCGAACCATTGAGAGGACTGTAGTAGTCACCATTTATAATTAGCTGGAATTCCGCCTCTGCTTTGCCTCCACGATTGTCGGCAATGCAGGTGTAGGAACCCTTATCGGTGGGTCTAACACCAATGATGCGTAATTCCGAATTCAATGTGTTTGGACTTTCGGCACGATGTTGTTCGACTGAGTTGAGAATTTTAAAGCGGGCATCATTTGGGTTAATCGGTCTCTTATTGTAGAGCCATGTCACATTTGGTCTAGGCGAACCCTCAATCCGACATGGCAACGTGATGTTATCTGAATGGACATCGACATAGGTACTCTCCGAACCCAATATTCTTGGTTTACAGGCAAAATTTTCTGAAGGTATTTCATTCCAAAGTTTTCCCTTCAAATGCTTGGGTTCATTACAGTCGGTTGGTGGAGTGTAAAGGCGATTGGCCAGAGCAAAATCACGGAACTCCTGCAACTCGCATGTACAATTCCATGGGTTCGAGGCCAAGGATAAGTGCACCAATTTGGGTGTTCGTTGGAAAGTTTCTCTTCTCAAGACGGTCAGCTCATTGTTCTCCAAGTAGACTGCCGACAAAACAGGCAACTGTCCAAAGGCGTGGATGTCTATCCGCTTCAATTTGTTGTTCTTAAACTCCACACGTGAGAGAAACGGCAAGTCCACAAAGAGATGATTGTCCAATGCTTCAATTTGATTATTGTTCATTACCAGGTTGCGTAACTTAACCAGACCATTGAAGGTGCCCACATGCAGCTCCTTGATAAAGTTATGCGACAAATCCAATTCGATTAATATTGTCAAGCCTCTCAGGGCGTCCCGATTCAGCTCTTGAATAGTGCAATTTTTCAGAAAAATTTTGTGCAGATTTTGAAGATTTGCTTCGCTAAATTCTTCCCTTCTCAGTTCGGGTATCATATTATTGGAGAGATCAATAACTTGCAGTTCGTTGCTCAGATCATTGGGTATTGTGTAGAGTTGTCGGTTTTTGCAATCTGCCGTCTTCTTTCCCGAATTCCAGTGACAATGGCAATTGCTACAGCTCTGGATCCAGTCAGAGTTGGCAACTGTCGAGGGGATACTCGTTAGCAAAATACTCGTCAGGAAGAGAATCTGTGTTAGCCAATAACGCAGGCGGTACCATGTCATTCTGATGGTAGGCTTTCTGTGTCTGGACGTCGTGGTGGCCATTATGTGTTATTTGTAGTTGATCGTGATGATGATGGAGGGGGTGGGTGGTGTGGTAGTGGCGTGTAATGGGATTTCTTGTTGTTGTGATTCAAGTGCTGAAGCGCCGTTTGCAATAAACTTGTTTAATTGAAACTCACTAAGAGTCTCATTAAATATCTTAAATTTTTTATTACTTTTCGCACAACTTCCCTTTGCTTATTTGACTCTGTGGTCCCCTTGGGCAGCAAAGTAGCTTTTATTTAAGCCAATTTAATGGGTGGCAAAACCCAAGTTCAAATATTGGGTATACCTTACTATAGCTGCCGCCCAACTTGTTAATTCCTGTGGAATGTTTAATGCTTGTAAAGCACAACCAGCCAACCATCTATTAAGGACGACAAGCCAATGTCGTCGTCAACCGCTAGGACAATGACTAGCAGAGTACAGCAAGCCTGTTATGATGTTGCTGACGTTGATGATGACGACGTCGACAACGACGACAGTGCTGATGATGACGATAATGATAATGCTGATGATGGTTATGTTGATATAGTCTTCAATGCTGTTGTTGGGTGCTTTTGGGACTGCGTGTGTCCTTTATTTCTTATTAATTAATGTCCTTGTTGTTGCTGCTGCTGCTTTCCTTTATTTTTCTGTTGTGGATTGTGGTGTGAAATTGTGTTTTCGCCGTTGTTGTTGTTGTTGTTGCTGTGCAGTGTGGTGGGAGAGTTGATGGTGTTGTTGTTGACACTCCTTTAAATGTCAGCATTTGCCTGTAGATTTACAGCTGCTAATTACCATAATATCATTGTATTTAAGACGTGCAGCAACAAATACATTAACACTGTTCTTCTGGCCTGTAACGAATTCAAATACAAAGACAAAAATAGGAAATTTCATTATTAGAAACATACGCAAGCAAAATTCGTCATTTGTTGAAAACATAAAATAATTAAAGAACACTACACATATACGCTAACAAATAATAATAATACTAATGGGATAAGAATAATTATAATTAGAATTTTAATGCAAATCTTTTATAAGAACAACTGCTTACAAAGCACTTGACGATGTAGCCAAATTGCTAGAATTATGGCTTAAAGAAACAAATGTACAATGGGGTAATTTTAGAAAAGGGAAACAAATTTCAGAGGCATGTTTTGTGAAAATGTGTATAATGAATAGAAATCCTATGAAATGTACTTTGAGAGATATTTTGGAATATGAAAACATACATGGATTTTTTTTTAATTTCTTTCTTGCGAAACTTATCCCAATGTGCCAAAATGGGTGGTCTTGTGACCTTAAGGCTCCTGGTAAAAGGGTGTATGGATGGTAATTTGCATTCACACTGTAACTGACATTAAATACCTCTTAATTTATTTTGACGTGAACGAAAACAGAGAAAATCACAACTCATAAAATGCTGTTTCTTCTTTTTTCGTCAGCTGAAATGTGAGCAGATCCTTTTTGTCATTACTTTCTAGTTTTGTTTTTCTGCTAAGTCAAATTTAGGGCAGTTATTTCGTTCACTCTTTTTCCTTGATGCTGTGTGTGTGTGTGTTGTTTTTATGTTAATGATGTTGATGGTTGGTCTATTTTTATGCTGTTCACCAGGCAGCCAGCGAACAAGCCAGCATGGGAGAGACATGGCATGAAAAATTACAACCTTTGACAAATGACCCTGAAAAGCTTTCATTTGTCGGCATGTCAGGGATTTGTTTTAATCAGCAACTCTTTAAGACTTAATTTGTCATGAATGTTTAGACACTTGTGAAAGCTTATTCAGATTTTGTCTTTTCTGCTTATCTTTCCCGAAAAAAAAAAAACAAATACAAAATAACAACAAGAATAGGAGGAGTACGCAAAAATATCCACAATATTAATTAAGTTGGAAATAAATAAGATGTAGACAAAGAAGAAGAATAAGAAAAAAACGAGGACAAGGATGAACAAATATCATTTTAATAAATAACAATATAGAAATTTTGGGTGGGATTTGGATTACTGATAAGTACACTTAGATGAACATCTTATACTGATTGTAATGAGACAAATGTCTGATGATTGATTGTAGGAGGCTGGAAACCTTGTACTTACACACAAAGTATTCATATAGAAGTTATGAAACGAATAATTATTTGTAAAAAGTATTGAGGACTAATTCACTTAAAGATGGGGTTTTCAAATAACTCCTACATACATTGGGCATCGAAATTTTTGTATTTTTTTAAGACTTTTGGTGCAAAACACATACAATCGAATAATAATCCTTTTTGCTATTCCATATTTAAGATTCACAAAAAATCGACCACGGTATCTTCATAGGAGAATAAACTAGACCAAGGAAAGCAATTGAAAATTTAGCAACAAGTAAATACGTCGTTAAGTTCGACCAGCCAAAATTTTATATACACCTTACGCCATGAGACCAAAACATGAAATATTTGAATTACATCACATATATTTTTGCAAGGAGGTTTTCAATCCATTTATAATGATTGGTCCGATCATTTAGATGTAACCATCAAATTGCCTAGAATTGCTCTGTACCTATAAATGGGTGTAAACTCAAATCAAGTTTTCATAGTGTCAAATACTTCATTGAACCGAAAATGACAGCCACTTCGAATGGAATCTACAGCTAGATATTCGAAATATGCAAAAACTGTTGTTTTTATGTTAGAAATTAATTGTGTGGACCTTTCTATGAATAAGAACTCCAAATGTGAAATTAGGTTAAAAACTAGAAAATGGAGTTACAAAATTATATGTAACCAAAACAAACGTGGAGACTTTGTAAACTATTTGTTATTTTTCCTAGAAACTTTTCCTGAAATTTGTATATGCAACAGTTAAGATATTATTCTTTTGCCTTTTTTTCTTTCAGATAAATAAAAAAACGTAAAATGTATCTTTATTCTGCTTACAATCAATTTGATACTCATCATTTCAACATCGTTTGCAACAGCATTTGGTTACTTTTGTCGGCAACAATTCCAACATCAAAGAAAACCAAATACTCGAATAACCGCACACAAAGTAAATTTAAACTATTATTTTGGTAATAACTGGTCTTTGTTACATTTTCTCTATTGTCGGTAGCGTTTGGATAGCTTCACAACTCTAGTTGCCTCTTGTACGCTTTTTATATTTGCATTCGCATTTTTAAAGCAACAACAATAATACAAACAATAACAATAGCAACAAGACTAACAAGTATTTATTTATCGAACATTTACAATTTGCATATTCGTATTCGTATTCTAGACCAGAACAGGGCGCAAAAAGTCGTTCACTCTGCAAATGCAAATGGTAACATAATCAACGAGTGAACGAACGAGCGCCCAAGGATGTTGTTGCGGTTCATTTGTTCAGCGCTTTGCCTGTTGCAATGCATCGCATTTCATGACGTCCCAAACAACAATAGCAACAACAACGACCAGCATCTCAATAATCAACCACAATAGCTGGTTGGTTGCAACCGACAGCAGCTAGAAAGAAGAACGACCGACGACAGCAACACTATCCGCAAATCCAATGCAATGAAATACTAAACTAAAACATAATGATGTGCTGATATTATTTCAACCTCTGGGGCTAGTTGGTTGGTAATGGAGTGAGAGCAGCATTGGAAATGGACAGGAAAATACTGATAATGGCGATGATGATGACGGCGACACCGACATGGATGCCCAAGTTGATAATGACAACTGCAGATGCTAAGGCAACCGCATTTGCCACATGGCAGCATTAAAAATACACAAAGTTTTGTATTTCAATTATCGAAATCGTTCACAAAACTAAAGTCATAGAGTCTCCATTGCATTTCATATTAGAGTAAGAAGGGTTATTAGGACACATATTTAAATTTTCTACAAATAATTCATATTTGAATGAATACAAGAGACTATGTGAAGGACAAGGGGTAACTTTGGCCAATATGTATTATTGAATAATTGTTCACATATCAATTAACACTTTTTCAATAACCCTTTTAAATGACGACTGAAAGCCACTGGAAAAAAAGAAAGAACTGATGAGGTCGTTGTGCAGCAGAAACATTGAACAATATTTAAAGTTTATCAATGCAATAAGGATTGGAGCAATGTTTTTCAATACTGGCGACAACACCACCATCACCAAGTACAACGAATATGGAATGCTATTGGGTATAATGGTATCAATGGATTAGTTTCTGACTTGAAGACAAACACGTTCGCACACACACAAACACATACATTCACTAATCTTACTGTAGCCACCATCTAAGGAATACATGTTTCCAGTGATCTTTGGCTGTTGTTGTTCCTATGGAATGCTTAGTTCATCGGTTCAATGATTATGTGGTCGGTAGTATGGTTGGATGGTTGGTTGAATCTTATGCCATGTTGTTTGGCCGGATTCATCATTACCCAGTTTGCCAATGCTCTAGCTAACCACACGAGAGAGTCCCTTAATTCGATTCTTCTTTATATTTCCTTATCTGTATGGCGGACAGTTTGACACACAACCGGAGAGACCTTCTCGAACTGTTGCCCAGCTTGCTGCGATATTGATGTAACTTGTAATAGAAAGACCACGGGAGTCCATTCTTGCCAATGTCATTTAACATTTATCAATCAGTAAACAATTGCAAATTGTATCTTTAATTCCTGCTCGAGCGAAGAAATGGCAACGGACCTAAACACCATGCTATGCAATTCTATTTGTCTGTCGATCTATGGGAACAGAGCTCTGTCCACCAATGTGTGTATTTGTGTAGTGGTGTGTGTTTGCATTGGTCATGGCAGAGCCACAAATTCGCATACCGTTCGATTGAACGATTTTGCAGCAACGAGTGACGATGCCATTATAAATAAAGCAAATAATTATAATTAGCGCGTGTTGAATGCAACGACAATGTTATTAAATTACAAATTGTGTGTTGTATCTATGGGGATTAATATGTTTGTATACCCAACCTGCTGAAAGGGCAGAATCGTGGCCAGGGATTAAAAAAATTATCGATTTTTTTCAATAAATAAAAAATAGTCGATTGAATGAAATTTAATTTTGTCACGTGAGTTACATATGTAAAACAGAAATGAGTGGGAAGGTTGCTCTGAAAAGTAAATGTTTGATGTTTATAAATAATTCTTTTACGACAGAATTAGAATTGAGACAACAATGTGTATTTCAGAATACACTTGAATGAAGCTTAATGGTATATTTTCTCTATATCATCAACCAGTAACACCAATGTGTAGATTCCATATGGATTGGCAATTTTAGCGAATTTTTTCAATATAGTTAGTTTAATTTTTTTTAATTTTTAGAAGCCTTGCTGGTATCTATCAAGAATACGTTGAAAAAAATAAAAAGTTGGCCGAACTATTTTCATTGCTTAGTTATATTTTTTTATCAAACAGTCCACGTTGAGTGTAATTGACACAAATTAATTTCGTGCAAAACCAAAATACTCACTCATACACACAATTTGTATGTGTGTTGTTTGTATGGCCAAGACTAAAGGACTCCTCTTAATTCATAATTGAATAAGAAACTTAATTAGATAGCACAACCAACTTATGGTTTATATATAAAAAGGACAAATAAAAAAGCGCACACACACACACACACAGCAAACGAACTCATGCAAACAACTTGGTCTTGACCTAGTTTAAATTCATTACATGTTGTCATTGTTCGGTTATTGTAGTGGTTTTTTCTATTACAATTGTATGCATTTATAATTATTTCTATCGCTGGCTTCTATACGAAGGCGAAATAAAATAAAAAAAACGTACAAAACGTCATCAAAATGAGTATGCTAAAGGAAAGTGACAAAACGTCATAGAATACACTCATATTG